TATGTCTGCTGTTTCTGCTCTAAAACTAACCCAGGCTAGGAATATAATAGGGTTAGGAATTTAAATGTCCATAGCACCCAAATTGTAATTTAAAGCCACACACTTCGGACTTTTCTACCACCTATTCTGTAAGCTTCCTGAGAGTTAACTCCTTTGTTACCAAACCCAGCAATGCCTACTGGGCATGCCCAATGATTTGGTTAGAGCTTCGCATGGAGTTTCACTTACTCCAGGTTTTACCGGCTGCAAAAGAAAGGAGGAGACGGAGAGAAGACTTAAACAGGTAGAGAACTTGGTTCAGCTCAGAATGCCCGTGGCCAGGGCAGAACACGGAAAACTGGGGGAAGACAAGAGGCTGTCGCAGAAAGCACCTTGCCAGACAGACTTGAGTCTGGTCTCCAAGTTGGCGCGTTAGCCGGGTAGGTCCCTCTCACGTCTTCTTGACACAGCCAAGGCAGACCATGAAGGTTTGCAGAGATCACTCAGGCTAGGACCACAGTAAGGGGTGGGGCAGGGACGTTGGATCTGGGGGAATGCCAGCGACTGTGTGAATCTTGCCTGTCCCTGCATTCCTCGAAAAGCTGCAGCTTTTCAAGGGTTCCAAACAGGAGACCAAAGCGCGCAAGTAAAACCCGAGCTCATCTGAATCACCGACTCCTTGCCCCCTTCCTTTTAGCTGCCGAGCTCTTCCCCGGCACCCTTTCAGGTACCCTCGCCCAATCACGACTAAACCCCGGAGAAGTGGAATCTCCACACAGGTTTCCGTGGGTCTAGCAGGGGCCTGGGCATGCTCAGTAGGCTACGTGATTCTCTGGTTCTCTCTCTCTCTTTCGGGGGAGGGTGGGTGGTGACAAGTTAGAAGCTCTTGCGGCAGGTCCCCGCCTCCAGGATCGGGCTTCCCCTGCAAAGGGACGAAGCAAAGGTATAAACACCTCGCTCCGCAGCATCCCGACCTGGAGGGGCTGTGCCCGCGGGCCGAACCCACCAGGATCCCCTCCTGAGGACGGCCCGCCGCTCTCCATGGTAATGCGGAGAGCTCAGCTCCGCCCTTCTCTTTCAGAAGGACAGCACCCGGCGTCACGTAACCCAGCCTTCTCAGGCTCCACCACCGCCTCCTCCTTCCCAGCTCTTTCCCTCTCTTCCTCCTCCTCCTGCTCCCCTTCGTTGCCTGTTTTCCCCTCCCGCACTCCTGGAGATAGACGCTTAAGCCTGACGCCTCTGAAAAGGCAGCGGCAGTCGCCTTATCCACAGACCTCAGGAAATTCGCTTTGACCGATGCATGCTTCAGGCTCTGGGTCGAGCTAAGGGGAATAACCGGGCAGGTAAAGAAGCTCAATTTGGGTTGGGGGAGGGGATGGGGCGAGGCAACCTGGAGAAGGATATATTTCCCCCTAGTAACTGAGCCAGGATCTGCCACAAATGCACAAGGAAGGATGGATGGTGGGAGGGTGGAGGAGTATAGATCTTCGTTGTTTTGCATGAAGCTTTTTAAATAGATAGCAAGAAGATGAGATGGTGGAACTGAGGTAGTAACTTAAAGGATGAATGCAGTGATTTATTAGCAGAAGAAAGAAAACAGACAAGTTAGAAACCAAAGCAATAAAATATATCTGTATCTACATCTTTATTTCCCTTCCCCATCAGCTCCATGCTGTGCCTATCCTTAATTTGTGCAGTTGACTCCAGGCTCCAAGAAACTGCACTGGTATTAGAGATGGAGCTTAGAGACTGGGCGGGAAAGCCAGGGAGAATTTGGGTGTGCATTGGTATTGAGGGACTTTGCAAAAGCGAGGGGGGAAAAAGCACTTCTAAAAATTATCCCAAAGATTTCAGGTTCTTTGCAATGGTATATATTGAAGGATGCATGGAAAGATATGTGTGCATATGTGTATGTGTGTTATAAACATATTAAAATAAATGCAACTGCAGCGGATCAGCATACTGTATCGATCCTTCCAGTGGCTTGGGAATGAATTTGATTCTAGAAATGAAAGAAAAGATTAATGAGGCTGTTAGTCTCCTTTTGAATTAGAGCGCTTCTTCCTTTGGCTGCAGTAAGGTTGTTTTTCAGATCCTTTTATTTCATCTTTTAATTTGTGAACTCACCAGGTTTCTCCGGCACCTAGAGAGAGAATCCTTTCTCCATATAAATACAGATACTCTCACACACACAATGAGCTTCCTCTAAGAACTGGGAGAGTCAGTTGACCTCCCCTGGGGTAAGAATATATATGTGTTCTCCCCACTCTCTATCCCTTAAAAAAATTGTCAAGGTATGCATTAGTGGAGGAGGGCAGGAGAGAGGGGTGAAGAAAGATTTTGTGATCCATGTAATATTAATTAATAAAATAATTAGCTCCAGTTGAGACACACACACACACACACAAACACACAAAGGTTTTCTAACACATAAGCTTCTGGATGGTTTCAAAGCACTACTCTTGATCTTAAAATTCCAGATTTATTTTGCAAATGACTGAAAAATTGGCAGATGCCCGAATCCACTTAAAAATGAGAGTATATTGAGAGTTTATTGATTAATACGCTATCTTAGGATGATTTTTAAGAGCACCTTTCTTTGGGCTTAGCACAGAAGTAGACAAGATATGGCTGGTGATTGCTGATGGTGTGGAATATATCAGCCATAATAAATAAGCAACTGAGATTTTTATTTCTTTTTTATTTCTACTGGGCAATGTGTATGCGTGTGTATGTGTTGTGTGTGTGTTGAAAAAGAGAGAACCAGTCATCAATTTCATCTGGGGAGGAACTTGAAGTGGGATCCCCTAGCTTGGTGGTGGCTCTCAGCTGACACCTGTAGGGATTGCTCTGTACTGAAGAGAAATGCTCTCAGCTCCCTCCATGGAGGAGGAGCAGCACAATGCGGTGCCATAAATTACTGCTAGTTTCAGCTTGTAGGGAAAAAAAAAAGTGTTAATTGGATAGTGAGCTTCTGTGTCCAGGCAATAAATGTGTGTGTGTGTTGTGTATGTGTGTGCAGGGGGGGTGTGTGGTATAGTGGGAAATGCTGAGGGAAATGCATGTGTTTGCTTGACATGACCAGATGAACCATGTGTGTGTGTGTGTGTGTGTGTGTGTGTTTGGTCAAAATGTGAGAGTAATGTTTTTGGTAAAAAAACAAAACAAAACAAAAAAAACAACTTAAAAACAACTCACTACTTATGATTTCTGTACTATTTTAGGAACCTGTCAGATTAGGGTTAAATAAAGAGGTGATTTTATAGTGAGTGATTCAAAGATATGGATCTTATATTCTAGCATTCTGGAGTCATAGCAGCTAAGGTAACACACATGCCAACTGCTGTTCTGACCACACAAATTCTAAGAGCTGACAGCCAGATAAAGGACTTGAACAGGAGTTAAGATCACTACACTGTTCAGCAAAATATTAAATACTTTACCCATCTTTAGAGGAGTTAATATTATGGCAATTGAGACATAAATGTTGCCCCAAATAGATAGGACTCCAGTTAGATGTCTTCTCCTATAACAGATTATTCCTTTAATAAAAGGAGGAAAATACTTGTTTGAAATTTAAAAGAGGTTCCCAAGAAACTATCGATATTTTTTCTCTGAAAAACATAAAATGGTGAGAATGCTAGACAAATCCAAGCCAGCAGCTTCCAGTTGCAGTTTGATCTGCTTTGCCTGTTGTAAGATCTGTATTAACTGAGATTTGACTAGGTTGTATTTTTATTGTCCATGTTATCAGTACACATCATAAGTAGAAGTCCTTAAAAGGGCCTTTTTCCTACCCTTTTCATATTTTAAAAAAATTAAACTTTCTCAGAAAAAGTAAAAGATAACCATAAACATATCTCTATAAAATTCTGAGAGGGTTACCTATTAACAGTTATAATAAACTGCAAGGGTGTAATGACTGATTGTAAAAGTGCAATATTAACTATTAGGAGATATTAGGTCTTCCTTGATAGATCAGGATAAATAAGCCCCTTCCAGTAAGGTTAACTCTGGCTTCCTAACAGCTCTAGTTATGCACCTGGTTTCTGAGCCGAATAATGATTTATATGATACTATAAATGATTTCAGAACTTAATTTTTATTTTAATTCTCTGCAGATTTTCTGGGTCCTTATAAAAAGACAAAACCAAAATGCATCACCAACACACAACCAGTTGATATGCTGGCATCTTAGCTTGGCCTTGCAGAGGGAGAGAGGAAAGAAGAGGAGCTGTTGTGACATCTAACAGCTTCTGGCTATTCCACAGCTTCTGGGTTCGAACCCTACTGTTGGGGAGGGGAAAAAGAGAAGTAAAATCCATCCTGTGAGGCCATGCATAAGGAATTCTGCATTGGCTACAGTGGTTCAGGAAGTCCATGATATGACAGAAGAAGCAGGCCTTTGAAGCTACTCAGGGGTTAAGTGGTGCCGAAAAGAGGCAAGGAACCTGTCTTTCCCTTCCGGTTTGGGACACCACATCTGGAGGAGAAACACTTGAGGTATCCAAGGATCCTCGTTCATTGCTGGCTTTCTTGTACTTCCCTGAAAAGTATTTGCTTCTTAACAGACTCTAACTGCTTCGCTTTTGTGCGGTACCACTGATGGTACCTGGCAGAAAACAGTATTTGAGGAGTGAAGCATCTCTTGACACCACTGATGCCCTTGAACTAGGTCATCGGACTCAAATGGATAAGTGACTTCCCTTGACCTTCTGTTAACGCCTTTTCCAGAACGTTGCTTCCAAAGTGTATCCTCCCTTTGGTCTGGAAGGTCTGCTGCTGCCCTGTACCACTGGGGTCTACGTTTTCCAGTTGGGAGGGGACTATCGGGAGAGAGGGAGGGGTTGCTGGAAGAAGAAGAAGAAAAAAAGAGCTAGATAAAGGAGGGTGCATCCCTCCCCCTCCTGCCCATCCCCTTACCCTACTTGTTTCCGGACCCTTATTTCTACATCACGGTGTCCAGGACCATTTTGACCCTGTCGGCCCCGGCACCCCCCCGCCGCACCCCAGCCCCGAGCATGGGGACGGCGCTTCTCCAGCGCGGGGGCTGCTTTCTCCTGTGCCTCTCGCTGCTGCTCCTGGGCTGCTGGGCAGAGCTGGGCAGCGGGCTGGAGTTCCCGGGCGCTGAGGGCCAGTGGACGCGCTTCCCCAAGTGGAACGCCTGCTGCGAGAGCGAGATGAGCTTCCAGCTCAAGACGCGCAGCGCCCGCGGCCTAGTGCTCTACTTTGACGACGAGGGCTTCTGTGACTTCCTGGAGCTCATTCTGACGCGCGGTGGCCGCCTGCAGCTCAGTTTCTCCATCTTCTGCGCGGAGCCTGCCACGCTCCTGGCTGACACGCCGGTCAACGACGGCGCATGGCACAACGTGCGTATCCGCCGGCAGTTCCGCAACACCACGCTTTTCATCGACCAGGTGGAGGCCAAGTGGGTGGAGGTCAAGTCGAAGCGCAGGGACATGACGGTGTTCAGCGGCCTCTTTGTGGGGGGGCTGCCCCCGGAACTGCGAGCTGCGGCGCTCAAGCTGACGCTGGCCTCTGTGAGGGAGCGCGAGCCCTTTAAAGGGTGGATTCGCGACGTGAGGGTCAACTCCTCCCAGGCCCTGCCGGTGGACAGCGGCGAGGTGAAGCTGGACGACGAGCTGCCCAATAGCGGTGGGGGGAGCCCGTGCGAGGCGGGTGAGGAGGGCGAGGGCGGGGTGTGCCTCAACGGAGGCGTGTGCTCCGTGGTGGACGACCAGGCAGTGTGCGACTGCTCGCGAACCGGCTTCCGCGGCAAGGACTGCAGCCAAGGTAAGGCCCAACGCCTGACGTACCGGGCGCCTCGGCCTGGGCAGGGCGCGGGGAGGCAGGGCGAGGCAGGCGGGGCCGGCTGGTGCATGGGGTCTTCCTTCTCTGGGCAGTGTGTTTCAGCTAGTTTCAAGGGGAAGACCTGTTTGTGGAGTCTCTGCCTTATCACCTCCCACAGCTCCTCTTCTGTCATCCTCTTAATGGTTGGGCAACCCCATTTCCAGGTTCAGATTTCTCCTGGGAACCCTTGGTGCCAACCCCGATTACTTCCAAGTGGCGAGTAGAATGACTTCTCCACTTCAGATTCCTCGGGTTCTTTGTCAGGCTGCTCCCTAATTTCACTGGGCCATGGCCCGCCTGAATAACCGCTGTGCTTTCCTCTACCACCTCTAAGTCTGTAATACACAGATGTTCCCCCTAAGATGCAGACAAGCATCTAGAAGATTGGGCACACATTTGGTGAAGAAGGAAGTGCGGGAGAGGTCCGCTATGGTTGAAAATCTCCACGTTTGTTATTCATGGTAGAGGACGGAAGGGGAACAGGATTCATAGGACCTGTTTTGCCTTTTATAAATAAAGTCCTGCTCCTGGTTATGGAAAAAGGGGGCCATGGGAGAGGGCACATGTGAAGGTTTTCTGGATTAGAAGGAGACGGGTTCTTGGAATTAATGTTAGTTTCTGTGGTTATGTCCAAGTCCAACATTTGTCAGTTTAGGGAAAATTATGTGATTTTTCTGTGATTTCTTGAAGTGGAAGACAGGTCAGCTAATATTTAGAAATGTTAGAGATTAAATAACATATTTCTTAATTAGCAAATGTCTTGGGAAGATAAATAACAGAAATTTAGACGTTGTTGGACTGGGAAGCTTCTGTAGGCTAATAAACAGGGGATGCATATGAAGGATTGCAAGAGATTTTTCTGAGTACATTTAGCTAATGATATTTATCTGAGTAGTGGAGGCCAACCTGTAATTTCTGTTGTTTTTAAGGATTGAAAGTGTGGAATGAAAAAAAAAATCATACCTAAGTTTTATTTTCTCCCTTTAATAAATAAAATTCAGTCATTCATGTGTCTCCAATATTGCTACATGACAATGACCACGGAAAAATATTGTATAAATACCGAAAAGCCTAGGAACAGAAAGTGACTGATGTGGAAAAGATGAAGCATGGATATATCTGTGGCTGAGCGGGAGAGGTGTCAGGGTTTAAAGTAGATAGCGTATGGGTCAAATCAAGACAGCACAGGATAAATGACATTTACAGCTGCAGATGTTTTTAAAAAGATGAATTATTAAATCTGATTTTGAAAGCTGTGAGGACAAAAGCTCAATGTGTGGCTGAATTTTATTGTATAATGTCTCCTTTTTTTTTTTTTGCTGACACTGCTAAGAGGAACTAACCCTTGTAAATCTTATTAGACTTGGCAGTTCTCTCTCATCTGACCTGAAGAGAAATGAAGACTTGATAAAATTTGTAACTGTTTAAATAGCAAAGGGAGTTTGTTAGGAAGAAAAAAGCTGGTCATCAAAAAAAGAAGAGTTCTGTAGCCTTTATGGGTTTATGGAAAAAAGAAAGTAAAAGGTTATTTTATTATTCTCTCCCTTCATGAAGGTTTTTGTTTTCATTATGTTTGGCTTAAGTAATTATAGAAGACTATGTCTTCCATGGCTTATACTACACTTCAGCTTGGCCAGTAAATTTCCATGGATTTAGTACCAGGCTTTATAGTTAGGTTTTACAAAAATAAAACAGGACATGTTTTTCCTCTCCCATATCTAATTTAATTGTAAATCTTGAATGAAATATCAGGTACATATGATGATTTGTTATATTATAATTTGGAGCTCCATACCTCTGCACTGATTAATAGAAATACATTTTTAAAAATGAACATTATTTTATGGGAAAAATTGCTCTACATATCCCAATGCCACTTTAAAATACAGAGCAGACAATTTAATGAAGGACATATGAGATTTAACTTCCTTCCTTAAATTAGGAAACAAATACAACATAATGACAGCTTGTTCTGTGTGGGAGGGTGTTTTAAATTAAAATTTTTATTTTCTTGTGCATTTTAAATGTAGGGATCCAGGGATCATGCATAATCAGGAACACTTAAGAGTGGAGAAAGATGGCAAAAGTAATATGTTGAAGAGAAGCAGAATTAGATGTTTCTGAAATGCATTTTATTTTGCCAGTGGATAGGCTCTTTCCATAAGAGGAAGAATTTGGAATTACCAAGATACATAATTGAACAATATAGTACCTGATGCTTAAGGTAATTCAATTCAGAAAAGAAAATCCATCGGGATTGTTCTGGAGCATTGATTCGTTTTGAAAATTTGATCTGAAAACGGAGTGCAAAGATCACCACTAGTCATGAAAGGAAAACAAAAGGCTGGATTCTTTTGATTATCACAGAAATGGGGGATGGAGTGATAAAGGCAGAGTCGATCTGCCCAGAAGGATGGGCTCCAGTTTATGTGTTTTTCTCTATTTCATATGTGTCAAGTGACTGTTAAATAATTAATTGAGAATGGATGCCTCTCCCAACACCAGTCATGTATTGATGGCCAGGGATAGATAGTTTCTATTCAGATGAAGTATGAGCAGAGCCCTGCCTCTAGCCAGTATTTACACTGAATGTCACATTCTTTTTAAAAACTAATTTAAAAACAAATCCACATTCATGAGAGAAAATTTAGGGAAAAAAATTAACAGCAAACATTAAACAAGATTCAAATCACATCTAGTTCTAACCACAATTTCTTTTTTAACTTAATAAAGTCTAATTATTTAGTTTCCTTCATATTAAAAATACAGTAAGAACTACTAAAAAAGACAATAATCATATTCTTTCTTTATTTTTCTGGCCCAGAATGTCTTGCAACAACTTCTGCATCTATGGTTTTCTAGAATATTTTTATTTAATGAGCTCAGTTTCATCCTTACTGTAATTTATTCAAGACTAGCAAGTTTTATTTATTTATTTATTTATTTATTTATTTATTTATTTATTTATTTATTTATGTAGTGATGGCAATAGAACACAAGAAAGGTTATGTGTCATGACCAGGTTAGTGGCAGAGCTCACATACAAGTGCAGACACTCTCATTCTCGAGCCCTGTATTAACTTTTCCGCTGAATAAGATTTCCTTTTTACGAGTAAGGATATTTTTTCAGGTTCAGGTATTATTCAAGAGAAAAAAATTATGTATAAATGGCTGATGGAATAGGACTAACCTATGTATCACTTAAGTTCTTTGACCTGAAAATGAGCCTCAGAACTCCAGTATCCAAGAATGTCATCTTTCCTGAATGATGGATGCTTATGGGGTACATAGCTTTTTCAGTGATTCGTACTCATCCAAGTGCCCCAGGACCATTATTACTTAATAAGTTTCTACTTAAGAGGACTAATAGTTTCTTAGCAGCTTAAAAGAATTAGTGAATTCCATGGCTGTCCAGCTTAAAAATGAGAATAAAAGGCTGATCAATGAGAAGTGAAGTTATACTTTAAAAATGATTTCCAGGTTTCATGCATTTTAGGGTCACTTATATTAAAATTTCATACTAGACTCTGGAGTGTCACTTTTATTTACTTTCTCTATTTCAATTTTTAGCATAAATTTACATATATGCCAGTGAAATCATGTTCCAGTTTTGGATACCTTTAGATAAAATGTGATAATAAACTGATTAAAAAAATAAGAAAAGATTGATACTATATAATATTTATGTTATTCTTACCTGTATTGTGAGAATCAGCACCCTGAGCTACACTGGTTCCTGAAAAACAGCCAGTGACCACATTCTGTATTCTTTTCTCAATAAACATTCAGTGGCCGCACTGCATGCAGGGTTAACTCCTATAAATATTCATTGAAAATTAAGTATCATAGATACTTATGTTTTGTTTTATTCTGGAGATATAAAGCTGCTGTTTGAACTTTCTTTGCAAACTGTTTTTTCAATAAGTGCACGCGTGTATTTGACATAATTCAGAATAAATCATTTTTGCATTCTAAAAGTTTTGAGTTCATGCTCACTTGAGCACATATTCTAAAAGTTTGGAGTTTGTTGTACAAAATAATATTATGCAAACCTCATATACTTTTTTCTTGTGCACTTATGTATAATTTTATGGCTCAGTCCCTTTTCCATTACTCAAGACACAGGAATTGGTAAATCTCTTGGTCTTGGCTAAATAGTAAGTCTTAAAATGTCCCACTTAGGTTTTGGAAAAAAAAAGTTTTTTGGCTAGTTGTATCAGAGCTCTTCAGAAATTGCATGGCTTTTTGTTTGTTTGTTTTGTTTTGTTTTCTTAAGCATAGATTCCATGTGTTTCTACTGGAACATGGGAAGGGGTACAGTGCTCTCTCAGAATCTTTTCTTGCCGTGTTATTTACACAATGCGTGTAAACAGAATGTGGTAAGGTGTTTCAACAACTAAATTCCAGATGTGGCGTTGCCTCTAAATCACTGTTAAAAGTAGAGAAAGTTCACTAATGTTCTGTATTTCAGTTTTCAAGTTTGTAAATTGAGAAACACATAATCAGGCAACTAATACATTGTGAACTTCTGCTAACATATTTCAGATTATGAGTAGTTAATAGGGGTAAACTCCCAGAAAAACATGAACTTTGGAAAGAAGTATCTAATGGCAGCAGGGTAGATGGCTCTAAAGTGTTGTAAGTGTTAATAGTGAAGATGTTAAACACGTTTCTATAAATCTATGTTGGGGTCATTTTAGATGAAGTTTAGATCATTTATACCCAATAGTGTATATAAGATTTGTTAGAGTTTTCTTATTACATAGTGATACCTTGGTACAGACAACCTGAGTAAGGAGGGCATTTGTTACCTTGTTCCTTCTTTGTAAAATCTGAACAAATGAAATAAATAACTTAAGGCAGCAGCTAAATGAGTGCATATTATATGATTCTATTTATATGAAGTTCAAAACAGTGCAACTAATCTGTGGTGATAAAGTTCA